GTGCCCTTTGGTTGTAAACTGGCCTGCCTTACCCAATGTGAGGGGTTTTAAGATACAGGCTACACACACCTAAGCAAACTGCATGTGCCCGCTAAGCCATAGAGGCCACCTCACTCATCTCCTTCTATTTTTACCTATTTTACCCACTAGCTAGCCAGGCTCTTAACAAGGACTCCTGAGGCTGCTCCAGGCAGCCATCCAGGTCTGGAGCCAGTGCTTATGCACTGAATTCGAGAGTCCTAGTGCACAAAACCTCTCACCTCTGGCCCCTCCATGACACAAACTCCTTAGAGGCTTCTTTCCTTTTTACTCAACATTGATTCTTTTTAGAACCTTTCAGTCTGTCAAGTTCTGCACTTGGCACCTAGCACGCACTCACTCAGTATTTGTAGCCTGACTCATCTGCTTGCTTTTGGCCGGCTCAGGATTCAGTTCCTGCATTCTCTCCCCTAACTTCCATTGCTCTTCTTGGCTCCTCCCTCAGGTAGAACTCCTTCCACCTCCCAGTATTCTCTTTCTCACTCTTCTCCAGTCCCCTGATGCCACTTTATGAGACCAAAGCAACTGCATTTACATTGCAGGGCAAAAAGAAATAAAATAAGAACATACACGAATGCCCTTGTACTGTTCACCATGTAAGAACTTATTCACTATGTAAGAATTCATTCACTATGTAAGAATTTGTTCATTATGCTTCAGAAGATTAGAAACTGATGAGAACTAGGCTTGAGATGGATTAATGATTGTGCATTGAGCATTGACCCCCCTATACAGAATTTTATTGTTGTTAACAACCATTTGATCAATAAATATGAGAGATGCCCTCTCAAAAAAAAAATAAGAACATACACATATTGGGGGATTTATTACAGGTCCCCTTCTGACACTTTGACCCCAAAGTCCCCTGGGGAAGATGCACAAGTGTAGTGTCAAGAACTGGAGTTCTGAAACTTGAATCCTAAACCTGTCTCTTACCAGGATGCCATGTGACTGTGTATAAGTTACTTAACATCTTTGTTCTCTAGATTCTCCCTCTATCCTACTTTCCTCCCCAGGAAACTGCCTGGTATGGATTGTATCAATAGGTGTCGCCGGCCACTGGCTTCTTAGTTGGGTTTGGCCAGAAAGGAACTCTGGCCGGTGATCAAAGATTGTAGCTTCCTCTCAGCTTCCTCCCTGTGGAGTCACCCTGTGGGGGGTCAGCCATGTGCCTTGGCCAAAGCCCTGCTCTTCTCTAGGCTGCTCACTCTAGAGGTCTCTCCTTCTAGAAACACGTCCTAGACTCTCCTTTCCTTCACCCCTTTGGGCCTGGTGGAGCTATTTATTTAAATAGCCCTAGGGTATTTCACTAGCCCTGTGGTTTCCTTACATCCCTCCTACATGTTGTAAATAGTCACTTTACTAAACCCTCCTCAAACTATCCTAATTTGACTGTGCCATATGTTTTCTGTTAGGGCCCTGACCAATACTGAGCCTTACTTTCCCCTGACTTTAAAATGGAGACAGCAATACCTCCATATTATGGCATGTTCAACAGCAGCACCTGACACAAAACAAATGCTGAAGTCGCTCCCTTCTTAATTCCTCTTCTTCTTCAAAAGCTATTTTTGCTTTTGGGTTTGAGTCCTGGCATTGACACTTATGAGCTAAGTAAATTTCAAAAAGTTTGTTTCATCACTCTGAACCACAGTTTCCACATTTGTAAGGTGGAATTCATTTAACAAACTCAGCCTCCCAGTATTAACTAAGCATCTACTATGTACTAGAAACTGTTTTGAGCAGCAAATTACGACTACCTGGTTTGCTGACTTCATAGAGTTATGGTAAAGATCAAAAAAGCAATGAGTCCTTAAATACCACAAGTTAACCAAAACTCACCCAAGATAAACTGAACAGTCCTACAATTATTAAACAAATTGAATTTATAGCTGAAGACTTCTGAAAAAGAAATCTTCAGGCCCAGTTGATTTCACTAGCAAATTCTATATAACATTTAATGCAAAAGTAACACCAGTTCTACACAATCTCTTCCAAAAAGATGAAAAGGAGGAAATGTTTCCCAACTTATTTAATGAGGCAAACATAACACTGATGCCAAAAATCAGACAAAAACAGTTCCAAAAAGCAAACTACAGAACAATATCCCTCAATATATACATAGAAATCTTCAACAAATACTGTCATATCAAATCCAGCAACATGTAAAGAAGTAATATACTATAGTCAAGTGGGGTTTATCACAAGATCACAAGATTGATTTAATCATAGAAAAATCAATCAGTGTAATCTACCACATTAATGGTCTAATGAGGAAAAACTACATGATTATATTAATTGATATAGAAAAAGCACTTGAGAAAAGTCAACATAAATTAATGATGAAAATTCTTAGCAAAGGAATGGAAGTAAACTTCCTTCGGATAAAGAGCATTTCTAAAAAACCTGATAACATCGTACTTAACTAAAGAAGACTCAATGCTTCTGCCCTAAGACCAGGAACAATGTAAAACATCCTCTCTCATCACCAATTCAACATCATACTGGAAGCCTTAGTCGGTGGAATAAAGCAAGAAAAAATAAATAAAATGTATAAGTATTGGAACGAAAGAAAGAAAATTCTGTTTGTAAGCAACATAACTGTCTACACAGAAAATCCCAAGGAATCTACAAAAAAATCCTAGAAATAACATGTGAGTTTACTATGGTGGTAGGATATAAAGTCAAAATACAAAAATAAAGCATATTTCTATATGCTCCTCATGTACCATTGGAAACCAAAATTAAAAAAAGATATATGTATATATACCATTTACAGTAGCTCAAACAAAAGGAAATACTCAGATGTAAATCTAATAAAATATGTACAAATTTTATATGTTGAAAACCATGAGGCATTGATGAAAGAAATGTTAAAGACACCTAACTGTAGAGAGATATACTGTGTTCATGGATTGAGTGAAACATCATAGTAAAAATGTCAATTCTTCCCAAACTGATATACAAATTTAATGCATTTCCAATCAATAGCTCAACAGAACTTTTTGTGTGATTTCATATATGTAGATTGTAACATTTATTTTTTTTAATTTAATAAAAGCAAAGGAACTAAAAGGGCTAAAACAATTTGAAACAGAAGAATAAATTTGGAGGAATAACACTATCTAATTTTAAAACTTACTGTAAATCAAGACAGTGTGGTATTGTCAAAGGGAAGGAACCATAGATCAATGAATTAGGACAAAGTCCAGAAATAGACTCACATAAACATGGCCAATTGATTTTTGACAAAGGTGCAAAAACAGTTCAGTAGGGTAAAGACAGTATTTTCAACAAATGGGGCTGAAACAATTTTATACCCATATGCAAAAATAAAACCTTGACCTAATCTTCATACCTTGTACAAAAAATTTAACTCAAGGTGGATACTTGATCCAAATGTAAACATGAAATCATAAAAAAATAGAAAAAAACAGGAGAAAATCTTCTTAATTTTGAGTTAGGTAAAGAGTTCTTAGATGTAACACCAAAAGCATGATCTATAAAAAGAGACCTTGATAAATAGGACTTCATCAATATTTAAAAAGGTTTTGCTCTGTGAAAGACACCATTAAGAAAATGAAAAGACAAGCTACCGACCGGGAGAAAATATTTTCAAACCATTTATCTGACAAAGGACTTGTATCTAGTATATAAGGAACTCTCAAAAGTCAACCCTTTATCCCCCTAACCATAAGATCATTCTGATTCAACCTTGCCTCACTGAGCATGTGCTCTGAGCCACACCTAGTACTGGATACTTTCACACCCACCGTCCTATTGAATCCTTATGCCAACCCTTAGTGGTAGGTAGTGATTATTATCCCCATTAATGATGAGAAAACTGAAGCACCAATGGTAAACATAGAACAAAAAATAAGTTCAATGGGAAACTGGACGGTAAGGCGTTTCAATCTTAATCCCAGATTGCACCATTTTGATTTCCCATTCTGAGGCCACGTTATGATGCATGGTGTAGTAAGTGTTTTTAGAAAGAAGAAATGTTTTCACTGGAATAAGTAGCATTCTAGGTAGGGGAAGCCTGGTCATCTCTATTGAGCCTAAATTAGGAGCACTTGCCCAAGTTGGTGGCTTCCATGCTTGCAAGATACAGTGGGCAAGACATCAGGTGACTGATTAGAGGAAAGACTTCCTGGCTGACCAGGGGTCTCCATCTTTCAACATATGGATGGGGGAGCTCATGGAGTCTTTATCTGCAGGAAAAGGGATATTCTCAAGAATTTCTTTCAGATTAAGAGTTAAGAGAAAATGGGGAGAGTAAAATAGAGAAGTAGAGGAAATAAAAGATATAGAAAGTACTCTTTCTTCTGCTTTAGCAACGTCAGTTTAACATCATATCTTCTGTCTTGCCTCCTTTCTAATTTCACTCTTTAGATTACGGATAAAGTATTTAGCTTCACTGCTTTCATGAAGACATGATTATTATGAATCACAGGGTCAAAAAGCCCAAGTGCCTTCTGGGAAATCCAACTTGACCAGGTTTTATCCTCCTCAGCCTCATAATATGAACAGTGATATGGTGATGGATTAATTTGTCTATCCAGGATCATCAACCCCGTTACACCTTTTAAACACCTATCAAAACCAGTGTTGATGAATGAAAATACTACCTTCAATTTTAAATAAACCTTATGGCATAAATAATCCAACATCAGACATCATGCTAGTAACCCGAGGCCAAGCCAACATGGGCTACACAAGTATACAGGAGGCCCCTGTGTTAGGAAGAGTTTGGACACATCTCATTCAGTGTAAAGTTCTTCCATTTGACAGGAGTAGCTTTAATACAGTCCATTCAAAATAGGCTTCTTGTAATTCACTGGAGGCTTCCAGAAAGGTAGAAGACTTTGAACAGGCACACTTTATTCTAAAATCCCCTTGTGGGACACCTGTACACATACACAGTTGACAATCAATAGCAATAATAAAGGTTTTATCTCATTTCCATAGTACATTTTCCTTAATATGTCTCCAATCAGCAGCGCTCTACCTCTGAAATTCCAAGCTCAACTTGTATCTAGGCAGTGTCAAATGAAAAGGCGATGCGATAAAAAAATTACTAGTGTGTTGCAAGGTGATTCAATTTACATAATGACTCTAGACTTGATTAAATACCAGATCCCCCCTCCAAAAAAATCACCTGTGGAGGCATTAAATCTTACAGTCACACACACTTCACTGCATTTACGCTTTATCCACAGAAGCTCCAGTTTGTTTACCTTTGCAGAGATTACTGCCATTCCTCCACAGGAACACAGCATGCAGGTAGTACCTGGAAGTTTATTCAGGAGAGTGGCAGGGGCTCATGCAGCATAAATACCAGAAAAATGTGTGAGAGGGAGTCATTGTGCTCATCCAGAGAAAAGACCATACCACAGGCTCTGAGGCAGACTGTCCTACTCTATTGAAAATGGAAAGACTTCTTAATAGGCCATCCAAATACTTTCTCCCCAAACCAAGGCTTCCTTTCCACTAACAAACTAAGGCGCTCACCATGGGCTTACCCTTCCAGGGGCACACTGGCAAGGAATGAGGCCACAGAGTACCAGATTTGGAATCCGTTCCTGTCAAGTTGGTAGATCATTTACGCATGTTCTCTCACCGTAAGTATTATCCCAGCCCGGGTTGCAGATGGGGTATTCTCTTGTTGCTCAGTTGCTGCATGGCCCTCAGTGTCAGTCTTTGAAATAAAAACATTAACACAAACAAGTCAAAACCTATGCATTATCGTCATGATGGGCCCCAAAGCAAATGGTGCCATCATACAGCTTCCAGAATACAAACTGAAAGAGATTACACAACAGAAGTGCTCTTAAACTTCATATGCCTGTAGACCAAGCCACTGGGAAGGGGCTGCTACCAGCTTGGAAAGGAAAAGATGTCTTACCACTTTCCAGTGGAACATTAAGTGAAGAGAAGGGACTGTAGCATCAGCATGTTGCTCAGTTGCTGAGTCCAAACTGTTTCAGTCAGAGAAAATTGGTCACTTCTCTAGCATGACTGATGTAAACTAGTCGTTCCATGCATTCTTAGCTTCAGTAGCAGGCAGAGTCTTGGCTGGGCAACTCTAGAAATCTAAACTTGACCAAAGCTCTGGGTGTTATTCAATGTTCTATGCATCCACTCCTTTCAAGGCATCTGTTTGCTATCAGATGTGTGTCAATCCCTTGCCAGTCATTCACAAAGACGAAGAGGTAGCTATGGTCTACCACGGCCTCCCTCCAGTGCACCAGTGCTGCATCACTGAAGGTCAGGTTCAGGTCTCAGGTCAGTGCATTATCATTAACTTGTAAATAGTCAACCACAATTCTGGCAGGCAGGTTGCCTCAGCAACCTGAAACAGTACTTTAGCATATGTCTGACCGATAGTACTTACAAAATAACCTTTTAAAAAGTGCCATTATTGGGCTATTTTTCAAATGTGCAACAATTTGAATATAAAGAGATTAAATTTCCATTTGCCAGCACAAAGTAAGGACTATAAACTAGTGGATTAACATTTTTGAGGCATCTGTTATGCTCCTTAAAAATATGTGTGAGTGCAATAAATAAATAGTTTTAAAGGACACAGGATGTCTTTTGGTATTTCAGAAAAATCTTACTATTTGTTAATTTTTTTAATAATCATTTGGAAGGCTAAAACTGAAATTTGTTTCCCTGCAAAATGTTTTTCTTTATCACACTGGTTTATTATGTCAGAGTTGCTGTGAGTCATGAAACTGCCTTGTTCCATTTTTCTTTTTAAAAAAAATCCCCAGGGAACTCAGGGAATTAAACTCATAAATTTAATTTCAATATCTGGTAAGCTGTGAGGACAATTATTAAGGCAGTCATTTATGAGTACCTAGGGGAAATATGGATTCTTCAAACACAAATCATGCCAAACAAAGCTAATTCCTGTTTGCAATAGGATGACAAGGGTAATGGTGAAAGAGGGATGGAGCAAAGTTAACATATCTTCGAGAGAGAAGCATCTGATATAATTTATTCTGACATGCTTACAGAAATACCAGGGGAAGACAAATAAATAGGGCTAGTAGAAGAGAAACCTGATGTAGTACCCAGAACTGGTTTGGTATAAGCTCTAAGTGAATGGAACCGCTGACAGAGTCGGACAAATTTCAAATGCAATGCCACTCAGCTCAGAGTAGCCACTCTCGGGTTATAGCAAAATGGATTGTAATCTTAGTCAATATAATTAAAGTACATGTAGTTATATACACTATTCGGGAGAGAAACACATTAAATGCATTACTGATATATTGGAGCTGTTTAAAGTAATCCCATGTACTGTGTTTTTTAAAGGCAAGTATTTCTCATATAAAGAATCTGCATCAAATGAATACGAATGTAACTGGAAGGTATCTATCCATATAAAGGGACCACTAAGACCCAGAGGCTGTCATGACAGGGAAGAGACTTCCTCTACACTCGCAGAGGTGGGTGGGAATCCAACACTTTTTTGAGCTACAGAGCAAGTCCGACTATCTCAGCCTAGTACTGAGGCTCTTGGTAAGCTGGGTCAGACTCACTGCTCCGCCCTACCGGACCAATCACCATTCCGTGGGCTTTCACACCTGTAGGGCATGTGGTTCCTCAACCTCAACTGTCTTTCACTACAGTGTCTTCCTGTAGTTGTCTCACTAATCTTTTAAGACCAAGCTCAAAAGCTTCTTTCAAAAATAAGCTTTCCAGATTCCCTAGTTTATTTTTCACTCCTCTAATATCCATAGCACCTTGTCTAAACTTCTGTATATACCTTTATTATTGTCTTCCTTGTTGAGAATTAACAGTGTACATGTTGATTCCCCTGTTAGACTGTGAAGTCCTGGAGGGTGAGAGCCATGTCTTATTCATTCTTTATCTTGTTCACAGCAGGCATTCAACAAAAATTTGTTGAACTGAATTGGATTGGAACTGCAATAAACACACCACCGAGACATTTATTATTGAGAGCTCCACAATTCCAGGACAACTGCTATTGGTTGGGCCTTTCCCTGTCCAGATTTTCAGGTTTATTTTCCAGTGCTGGAAATAAAATAAAACAGAAAAAATAAAACTAAAAACCTAAAAATAAGTAAATAAATAAACACTCTTCCAAACATTCTGTTTATTTATTTAAAAATCTGTTATTATAGTTGCCTTAATATTACATTCATTTTAGGTGTATAACCGACTGATTCAACAGTTATAACATCACGAAATGCCCAAAACAGTGACCGGGCCATGACCACACCCAAATTTTGATTCCCCAAAGCCTGAAGGCAAGACAGTTGGGAAATCAGGATTGGAGACCACCAATAAAAGGAGACTACCATAGAAACCATCTCCTAGTTACCATGTACCTTCTCCTAGATGCCTCATTCAGATAAATCTGAATTCAAAGAGGTAACACCCAGGGCAGCACTGACAGGGAAACAGGAGAACTCTGATCTGGGGAAATAAAATAAAAGACCATTTCACTCTTGCATGTTGGTGTTTTGGGTCAAAGTAGGGATTGCCAGCCTACATCTCTAACTGAGGTGAAGCATGAAGAGATTAAGCAAAAATGCCCAATAATCACTGATGCTGCTGAAGTCCTGTAACAGTATTGCACAGGAAGGGCTGTGGGGCTGCATAACATGGGAAACCCTTTTCAGCTTGAATTATAAGCAGGAAGTGCTATTGGTAATAATACCTGCCATCTGCAGAATGCTGCTTTCCCAAATTTGATGGTTTATTCCAAAAGGCCTTTCCACAAAGAACAGTAGAAATAAAATACAGAAAAACCTACTAGGTCATCCACTCTCTCCTAGAAGGCCTAATGCAGACTATATTCTGCCACATAATTGCTAACACTCTCAATGATGCATAAAGGGGGATTTACACCAATAAATCCTAAATGGAAAACAGGTATAAAGCAGCAATACTGAATGCAAGGGAAAGAGAGTCATCTTTACTGACTCATTTTGATGCATTCCAAAGTGACTATGAATTAAACAGCATGTTTTTTCTCATTGAAGTATCATTGATATACAATCTTATATTGGTTTCAAATGTACAATGGAGTGGTTCAACAGTTAGCCATACTATTAAATGCTCACCCTCTCTAGCGCAGTTACTATCTATCAATGTAGAAAGACGTTACAGAATCATTGACTGTATTCTCACTGTACTACCTTCCTCATGACCGACTTACATTGTGATGCCCCGTTATCCCCCCATCCTTCCCCCACCTGCCCTAACTCCTCCTCCTTGGTAACCACTAGTCACTTCTCAGTGTCTATGAGTTACTGCTGTTTTGTTCCTTCTGTTTTGCCTTGTTTTTATATAAGTAAAATCATACGGTATTTGTCTTTCTCCACCTGGCTTATTTCACTGAGCATAATACCCTCTGGATTCCCCATGTGGCTTATTTCACTGAGCATAATACCCTCTAGCTCCATCCATGTTGTTGTAAATGGCAGGATTTCTTTTCTTTTTATGCATGAATAATATTCCATTATATATATGTACTACATCTTCTTTATCCATTCATCTCATTGATGGACAGTTAGGTTGCTTCCATATCTTAGCTACTGCAAATAGTGTGGCAATAAACATAGGGGTGCATATGCCTTTATGAATCAGGGTTTTTGGGGGGGACGTGTAAATTCATAGAAGCAGAATTATACTAGATTGAATGGCATTTCTATTTTTACTCTTTTGAAGAACCTCTGTACCGCTTTCCACAGTGGTTGCACCAACTGACATTCTCACCAACAGTGTAGGAAGGTTCCCATTTCTCCACATCCTTGCCAACATTTGTTATTTCTTGTCTTTGCATAGTAGCCATTCTAACTGCTGTGAGATGATATCTCATTATGGTTTTGATTTGCATTTCCCTGATGATTAGTGATGTGGAGCATCTTTTCATGTGCTTGTTGGCCATTTGTATTTCTTTGGTGAAATGTCTGTTCAGGTCCTCCACCCAATTTTTAATCAGGTTATTTGCTTTTCGGGTGTTGAGGTGTGTGAGTTCTTTATATATTTTGGATGTTAACCCCTTGTCGGATATGTCATTTACAAATATATTCTCCCATACTGTAGGATGCCTTTTTGTTCTACTGATGGTGTCCTTTGCCGTACAGAAGCTTTTTAGTTTCATGTAGTCCCACTTGTTCATTTTTGCTTTTGTTTCCCTTGCCCAAGAAGATGTGTCCAGGAAAAAATTGCTCATACTTACGTTCAAGAGATTTTTGCCTATGTTTTCTTCTAACAGTTTTATCATTTCATATCTTACATTCAGGTCTTTGATCCACAAATATGGGGAGAAACATAGAGAGCTGGTCCTGCAGCAATCAAAGTGTACCTTTATTTTAACAAGGCAAACACCCTTTGCCAAGGTAGTAAGGTGACCTGACTGGGGACAGCAGGCTTTCTTGCTGTTAAAGGAAATCCATAGGGAAGTTGCTCTTCAATAAAACCCATTTATACTGATGATCTCAATTTTGTGATTTAGCCATGAGGGCCCTTATAAATATGTTTTCTATTTATTTCATTTTACTTTTCAGACTCTTCTATTTTCCTTCCTTTTTATCCAGCTGTGAAAAATAGGATGCTTCCTAACTTTGGTACAATCATTCACTAAATGGCCCATAAGAAAAGCACAATGGGAATTCAGACTCCTGTTTGCCAAACAACCTTTGTCTTCCCTGCTCCTTTCTCGTCTTCTTTAGTTATTGTGTGGAAATCTGAATGCTAGGCGAGGCTGTGCCACTACCTTGCTGGGTGGCCTGGGAAAGCGGCTCCTTCTCTCTCAGGCTCACTCTTCCCACCTGTACGATGAGGAGCCAGACCACATGAGCACTAACTTCCAATAGCATCGACTCCATCACGTCTGAGTGTGAGGACCTATATCACCCTGACAGAGCTGGAGACCCTCTCTTGGTGGGCCACCAGCCCCTCGTGGAGGATGCCCAGCCTCCACAGAGAGGGCCTTCCACTCAGGCCTGGGATTGATCTCTCGGGAATCTGAGCTAATCGAGGTTGGGCTGACCAACCTCTTTGGAACTACAGATACTCACTTAGTAGATACAGCAGAGAGGCAGTTAATACTTTGTGACTGAATGACAACTTGGGTAAAAGAACTCAAAATGCCAGCTCACTCAAGGTTCTCTGTGATCCCGCAACTGTCTCTACTCTAAGCTACACTGCCATCTTCGTGGTGTCTGTTTCAGTCAGGGTTCTCCAGATAAACAGAACTAATGGGATAGATATATAGATATAGATGTGTATATACACATACACATATGTAAATATATATATACACATACATATGAATATATATATACACGTATACATGTATATATACATATGCATGCATGTGTGTGTGTGTATAGACAGAGAGAGAGAAAGAGGGAAGAAAGAGAGATTTTAAATAACTGACACATGCAAATGGAGGAGCTGACAGGTCCGAAATCTGTAGTATGGGCCAACAGGCAGAAATTCACGTAAGAATTGATATTGCAGTCTTGAGTGCAAAATCTGCAGGGCAGGCCAGGCAGGCTGGGAACTCAGTTAAGGCCAGATTTCTTCTTCACTGGGAAGCCCCAGGTTTTGATCTTAAGGCCTTCAACTGATTGAGGCCTGTCCACATTGTGGAGGGCAATTGCCTTACTCAAAGTCAACTGATTTAAATGTTAACTGCATTTAATCTAAAGAAAAAATGCTTCCCAGCCATATCTAGACTAGTGTTTGACCAAACAACTGGGCACCACAGCCTAGCCAAGTTGACACATAAAATTAACCATCACAGTGCCTAGTCACTGTTCTCCTTTGAATTGGGTGCACCATGGGCTAGCTAATACTGGCCTTGTACCGTTGCCTTGGTCCCTAAATCCTGCCAGATCTTATGAGAATGGTTGCTCACATTTGGTTTGCTATCTCCTATGTTATTAGCCACTTAAAAAATAGCTTCGGTCTAAGCTGCTAGATAAGCAACAGCAGGCACCAAGCAAAAAGAAGTCAGTAGCCCCTGCACGCCAGCTCAGAAATTCCTGTCCACTCAGGAAATCCTTGCCTTCAAACATCCCCATGCATTGGCTCTGCTGGCTCCCCAAAGCACCTGGCTTTGTGTACTGTCTCCCTACTCTCCTCTGGCTCCACGTCAGGATGTTTGCCTTACTTCTGATCTGCTGTTCCCTCAAGATATGGTCCCAGTCTTTGCTATCCACCAACACTGGCTAAGAGGTTCCAGGTCTGTGGCCTCCACCCATCTGGGAAGGAAGACCAGATAATCTGTATGATACATTACAGTCCTTAAAACACTTTTATATCCACTATCCACCAACTGGTATTCTTGACACCACCCTGAGAGCTCATAAATGAGCAAAGGTATTATCTCCACAATGCCTCCTTTAGCAGATAAGGAAACTGAGGTTTAGAAAGAATAAGTCCTGGGCACAAGCACACACAGCTAGCCAGTACACGTGCCCCTGCTATGGGAGCTGGAACTCCGGGCTATTTCAACAAGCCGGAAGTACTTCTGCAAGCAGCCGAATACCATTCGGCTGACTACTAACCACAACAACAATGTCACCTTAGATTCACATGCAACTTTGCTTCCAAAAAGACCACAAAGGCATTTTTCACCTTTCACCTAGTTATGTCATGCTGGTTCAAAAATTTCCAACAGCATCCCTTTTCCTCTTTCAGCAGAGACATAGAAATTCTCACTTATTGCCTATCTCAGAATTTTAACTTGAGTTTAGCCTGCAAAGTCATTGACCGCAAGGTTTTATAAGGCTGTTAATTGGCACATAGTGGGTGAGTCTGGACACGGAAGCTTCCATCCTGAGGGAGGTGTCCAGGTAAGGCAATCTGGCCCAAGGAATACCAATACAGACTTTGCAGGCTATAACTGGGAACTGGCTGGGACTGAGACAGACCTGCCTGGGGAGGTCCAGAATCCAGAGACCAGGCAGGCCCAGGAGGGCTTTGAAGGTAGGGTCTCCAAGGAGACGCAAGAAGTAGAGGTTAATAGTCAGTGTCAGGAAGGCCTAGGAGTA